GTTAAATTTAAAAACTATACTTTTGAGTTAAAATATATATTTATAATTTTAATAAATGACAAATTAAAAAGGCATGAACATTTTTTTGTATCGAAAAAATATCGAACCGTGACACCAAAGTATTGAACCGAACCGAACCGTGAATTTTGTATATCGTTGCACCCCTAGTATTTTTATATTCAAAGCACATCAGATTCCAAACTCTTGTTTTGCTAATCTTGAAAACTTTGACTTTTATCTTTCAAATTATAAGAACGTTAAAGTTGTTCACATCAGTGATGGCATTTTTATGAGTATATGGAGTAATATGGAAATTTGTACATTACAGCTCCATTTGGTTACACTGATTAACTCAAAAGGGGACAGAATCTTGTTAAGCTTGTTGGTGTGTCTTCTGCAGTAAGTTAGCTCATGACAGATCTTGGGTTCCACAGCATTAAGAGTCAACTTCATTTATTAAAGAAATGTAATCACAGGCACACTGATATGTCTTCCTTTTCACAATTTTAGGATGAAGATGAAGACAAAGAGTTCAGTAAGAAACGAAAAGACTCTCTTTCCACTGCAGAGGTGCCTACAGATGTCCCTGTAACAGCTACTAAGCCCAAATCCAAACCAGAGGGTCATGATGAAGAGCAACCTCAGATTTTACCCATATTACATGAATTGAATGATGAAATAGTGAGTGGTGCAAGCAAAGATGGTACAGATTCTTCTATACCAGCAAAGGAGGAGATAAATGCTAAAAGAAGGCGTCTGAGTTTCCAAGCAATGGATGAAAGCAGTGAAAGTGAACTCACACCCTCACCATCACCTAAAGTCCAGAAAAGGAGACTAAAGGTGAGCAATATTTCATCCAGCAGTGAGGACATCAAAACTGAGAGTGCTGACTCCTCTGTGGAAGATGAAGAGTTCATCCGCAAGCAGATAATGGGTATGGGTGATGAAGAAGAAATGTCTGTATCAGAAGATGAGAAAGAAAAGAATTTGGAGAATGTACAAGCTATAAAGGATACTGACCTTGATAATACATTGGTGACAGTCAAACCACTTTCTAGAAAAGGTAGCACAGATAATGAAGACAGCCCAGCCAGGAACAAAGCAGTTCCAAAAACTGACAGCATGACTGCTCAAAGCGTGCCTGAAACATTACCCAGAACTACTTTCAAGAAAGCAATTCCAGTCATGAGACAAAGACAAAGCACAGATGAAGAAATAGAAAGCATCACAGAATCTGTGTCAAAGGGTTCATCTAGTGTTCAAGCATCCAGTTTTACTCCAGAATCTTCACCTACATCAGCCTCCTCCCTGGAAGAGGATAGTGATAGCAGCCCTAGTCGCAGGAAACCCAGTGGGGACAAACAGTATCGCAAAGGTAAGCACAGGCAACCAACTCAGCCTCTTCCTACCATCGAAGACTCCTCTGAGGAAGAGAAGATGGGACCCCATGGACAACTACTGTCCCCACACAAAGATTCTTCCTCCACAGAGGATCTGAAAGAAGTCACAGTTATAAAGGAAACTCATAGAACATCTGGCTCTGAGTATTCTGCCAGTATAGAATCAGAATCAGAAGCCACTCAAGCTGTACAGAGAGGACGTAAACCTTCACCAACAGTCATACCATACACCCTTTCTGATCCATTTATAGAAAAGGACAGTGTGACAAAATCATTAAAGAGTGCAGAAGAAGCATACGAGGAAATTATTCAGAAGACTAAAGCTATTCCAGGAGACAGTCCACCTGATATTGAGCCACTCTATGGGGGGATGGCAATAGAGGACTATCTTTATGAATCCTTAGTTGAGGAACCTGAAATTAAAATGAGTGAATCTCGGGAAGAACCCAAAAATGATACTGGCTCTGATTCTCTCAAAAAACTCAGGTCTCCTGAGGAGGTTTATGAGGAGATGATGCAAAAGAAGAGAGAGTTGATGATGATAGAGCATGAATTTCAGCAGGCACAAAATGCCATGGAATCTTCTGCCTCAAGCGCTTCACAGGTCACTTGCCCTCCCTCATTTGCTGAAACTTGTGTAGTGACTATAGAAGAGACATACCCAACTGAAAAACTTGAAATGCCTCTTACAGAAACTGAAACTTTAAGTGACATGTCAGTAAAGAAAAAGAAGCGACCAGCCCCTCCACGCCCTTCTGAGCCCCCAAAGCGTCCTGACATAACTGTTGTCCCTAGTACTCCTAGTGGGGCTATAAGTTTTGTTAGGCCTATGATTCAACAAGATCCTGCATTAAGAAAAGCATTGTTCCCTATACCAGACCTCAAGATTACTCAGTGTTCATCTGGGGAAGAAGAAGATGACAGTCTTGCAGATGACTATGGCATTGGTATTTCCTCTGACATTACCCCCAGTGATGACTCTCAAGAAGAACCATGCATAAGCCCATCTTTGTCTGAAACTGTTGAGATGGATCCTATATGTGTAGTCTGTGAAATTCCAGAGCCAAAACCTATTCCAACTCCAATATCAGCTCCAGAACTAACTACAACACCTTCTCCTGTATCACCAGTGTCACCTCCAACCTCACCAGCTAGTGCAGATTCCAGTTTGGCCTCTAATGCTACATCTTCATCTCCATTCCAGGCTCAAACACCTCTTTCATCAGATTCAACTCCACTGTCTACACCAACACCTTCTGCTTCATTTAAAACACAATCACCTCCAGAGATCTCCTCACCACTGCCTGCCACAGATGCAGGAGTACAATCTAATGAAAACTCAGTCTCTTCTTCTCCAGTTACAGTTATAGTTACAATACCAGATGTTGTGTCTGATCCATCCAAAGCGCAAACAGCTACAGCCATTCAAGTTCAGACTTCTACAGTAGAAGCCATAACTGCATCACCTGTTGTGGTACAAATGCCAGACTTGGTTTCATCTCCATCTCAGGTTCCTGACAACATTCCAGCTATTTCACAGGTCTCAGCACCAAGTCCAGCACCTTCTGTTGTCTCCATTCATTCTACAACCCTAGTAGCAGCCCGACCTGTTGCAGTCTCGGCTCCAACATCTGCCATTCTTTCCACTTCTGTCACTCTAGTTTCATGTCCTGAACCAGTCATAGTGCAGATGCCTGACCTGGTTTCAACCACAGCTCCCATACCAACACACCCCCCATTACCAGTCTCAGCACTTGTTACTACCCCAGCTCAAGCTGAAACTAAAGTGGTACACTCTGTCCCTGTACAATCAGCCATCCCATCAGTCAGTCCAGTGGTAGTCCCACCTCTGGCTCAAACCGCCCAGATGCCTTCAGCAGCAACAGCTTCAACTACTATAGTCAAAAAGAAGGTCCCGCCTCCTCCTCCCCCTCGATCTACTTCGGTATCATTACCTGAAACTAATAAAGATGTTCCTTTTGTAAAACCTATTGAGCATGCCACTCGGACTACATCACCTATGGGAACCACAGCTGTTGGACAGCCAATGCAATCTGTTGTTGTGGATATCCAACCAAGAATGGAAGCCATGAAATCAGATGGTGGAGTTGTACCTCAGTTAGTAACACCAAATAGACAGGGGCATGTAGTTATCATTGTCCCCAGTGTAGAGAACAAAGCTTTGATTGAACAAACCAGAAACCAAGGTATACCTAGCACAGGGCCAATATCTTTCATTGCTTCTGCTCCATATGGTAGCCAAGTAGCCCCACATTCTGCTTCAGATGTGTGCAGTACAGATATATCTTCACTTCCTACTAAGGTGGCAACAGTGCAGGAAGTTGTAGCTCCACCCATTTCACCTAAAGTTATAGACACAGTAGAAGTACCCATTACAGTTTCTAGTCCAACACCTCCATCCACTTTACCCAAACCAACTGTTCCAAAGCAATCAGTTCCCACTCCAGTGACAACTGCTAAAGCAAATTTCACACCAGTTTTTTCTGCAGCTTCTATTCCTAGTCAGACTACCAAGCCTCCTCCACCCATACCACCTAAACCTGTATCAATTCCAGCTGGACTGGTTTTCAGTCATAAACCAGGAGAGAGTGTCAAGCCACCTCCTGTAGCTCCCAAAGCGGCAACCCTCCCCAGGACAAAAGAACCTCCAAAGGCTCTATCACTTAGTCTGACAAGACCTGTGGAGTCTAAGTTGGGTGCAACATCTCCTAAATCACCTGTATCTCCTAGACATGCGAAATGTTTACAAACCTATGTAGTGATAACGCTTCCATCAGAACCTGGTTCACCAACAGAGTCCATAACTGTCCAAGCACCTGTAAGAAGAGGGTCCATCCCTTCCACAAAAGTGTCAGGAATACGGACAACACCATCAGAGCAGAAAGCACCCATTGAAGTATTCTCAGCACAGGCTACAGTAAGGAGAGCCTCGGTCCCTACTGTAAGGCATCCACCTCCAATATCTGTAGCTTCAGCTGTCCCTGAACAAATGACAACTTCTGAGGTAGTAGTTTCTGAAGTCCAAGCTAAAACAGACACTATGCCATCTGTAATGCTGTCATCGCTTCCTGTAGTTGATATCGTAACATTGCCATCGGCCCAGGAAACTTCTGTCCAAGCACATACTGTGCCTTTTCCAATTAAGAAACCATTTGTGCACCAGGAGCAATCAATGACTCCACCACTGTCACAACCTAAAACACTGTCTGAGGTCATCACAGTGTCCCCAGAGCCAAAAATTCTCATTCATCCAGTCCAAGCCACAATTACAGAGATCATAACAGTTCCATCAGAAAGTTTAAGTGAAGCACTGGTTCCTCAGGCTCCCAAACCAACCATACCTGTCCAGCCAGAGCCTCTGATTGAAGTTGTTTCTACTTCATTGCAGCCTGGAGTATCTTTTGACAGACCTGTAGCCCAAGATAGACCATCTGCAACTGTTTTTGATGCACAAGCTGCAGCCCAAATTGAAATGCCACATACAGACGAGGATGTACCTACTGATGTCGTTGTTGCAGAAGCAATTTCATTAAGATCACTGATACCAGGTGTTCAGCAAATCCCTGTTGAGCATCCACTTACAGTATCTGAAGCAATGACTCATTCGAAAGATCAAGAATTGGCCACAGGTTTTAACTATAGCTGGACCATTTCTGAACCCTCACCTGTTCTACAAACTATTCAACCTTCAGAAGTTCTGCCTGCAGTGACAGAACATCTGCCTACTCAGCAACCACTTCTTGTAGCTGAAGGGGTTTCCCTCCCTACCAAGTCTGATGTACTCACAGAAGTTATTACAACTGATGCAGCTGTTAGAATACCAGAGATAGCAATGGTACATCCATTACCGCATCATCAACCTGTGGTAAGTGAAATTACCCCTGTTGAGTTAATGCCATTAACTATAGACGATAAGAAGATATCTCCTACAGCTGCTGAGGAAACACCATCACCTCTTATCATGGAAGTTGAACACATAGTTACACATCCAAATATACCTCCTCATATATATATTCCAAAGGTCTGTGAAGGAATAACATCCTCAGTTATGACACATTCAGTGCCACCACTGGCATTGCAACCTCAATTTGAGCCTCCTACACAAATTATAACTAAGGATGCTGATCTCATAGCTTCTTCAATATCATCATCCATGATACAACCTCAGGCTGGGCCTGGAATGCCAGTTATGACAACTGAGGAAACCACACATAAGAGGAGGACATCCATATCTTCCATAGTACAGCCAACATATGCCACAACTGAAAGATTTACTTGTCCTACAGAGTATGAAATGCCCAGACAAGTAGTTACAGCTGAAGCCTTTGCTGCCACCAGAAGAGAATCCATAACCATGCAGCAACCATACCAATTAGCACAGGTAGTAAACCTGCCAGCTGAAAAAGATGTTTCTAATGATGGTTATGCTGTTCAGCTCCCCTACAGAAGAGAATCAGAACGCCAACCACATGCATTGACTTATTCATCAGAATATGATCACCCTGTGGAGCTAATAACCACTGAGGAATACACCGCGAGGACCTCACGGCCCACAGTGCAAGACATTCCACAGAATGTTTCTCCAGTCACCATCACTAAAATTCAGCAAGAGTCTATTGAAAGCCAGGAGATAAGAGGAGCAGAAAAGGTGGTCTCTAGTATGAGCCATATGTATTCATCTTCAATTTCCACCTCAGGCCAGCCACCTGAAAGCCTTCCTAGCCTAGTTACTCAAGTAGTTACCACTGAGGTCCAGAGGACCACTGTTTCTGTTGTCCATGAAAGACTTCCACAGGTCCCTCCACCTAGTGTAGCAATAACTATACAACCAGACATTGCTAAAGTCCAACCTGTACCCAAACAGAATGGTAAAATATATCCTGGTGATGTTATTGATTTACGTACAATGAAGGTTGGTATAAAGATGACTGAGCAAGGCATGGACCTGACTCCGCCTGAATCAAGTCGACAGTCTTTTTCAAGTGACTCTAGTGGCCGTCAAATTACAGCAGTACAGCCGGAGATAGTAAATCTTAGTCCAGCAATTACCCCAGCAACCACACTGTCTGTTGTCACTGACAGCATCACAATTGTCACATGCACAGCTACTATTGCTTCATATAGCAACACTCCAGCAGAGAAACCACTTGATTTGCAAGGTCCCGTTACATCATTGCCACTATCCCTCACAACATACAAACCATTTGAGCCCTTAGCACAGATCGTATACAGACCTGTTAGCACCCAACCCATGCTGAGTGCTGTAGCATCCACAGCTCAAGATATACCAATTAATCTTTCCTTTGAAGCTCTTGTGTCCTCTGGAGCAAAACAGCCATTGACGTCAGTCCCCACACTTCTCAGCAATGGAGGGCCTGTCCTTTCTCTAGAGGCCACAGAGGCCATGGATCTGACAAACTACAAACCAATGAGAGCTGTGGTAGCATTGTCTGGTACAAGTCCAGGAGTGGTGACCACTGTTGTAGAGGATGATGGGACCCCAATGGACCTTACAGCAGGAAGGCATAGTGTTTGCTGTGATGTAATTTACAAGCTACCATTCACGGGATCATGCAGAACACAGCCTCCAGTTACAAGCCAGCCTGATAACCGTTTTGGCTACAGAGATGACCACTATCAATATGATAATTCTGGACTGTATAGTATCAAAGGAACTAATGGCATAAAAGCATCAGTGTCTGAAACCAACTTGACAGAGGCAGGACTGTTTTCCATGGTTCCTAAAAGTGACTATGACTACCTCAGTGGCTCTTCAGATGGCGCTATAGACCTCACTGCAGCTAAACTTTCTGCTGGTGAGTATGAGAGTACTTCTGCATGGTTTGTCTTTTTTACTTCCGTGTTTTCTTTTTTTGAGAGGGGAGTGGGCTTCCATTGGCTTGAATCAAGCTTTTAAAATGCCTCTGCATGACATATAGTATGTTTTTACAGTTCAGTTCTTTCTGAAGATAAACATACTTATTTTTCCTGGAAGTTTATTATTTCATGTTTGCTTGCATACTGTTTCCAAAAAAGTTAGGACACTAGCTTTACTTTGTTGTCTGGGTCAACTTTGTTAGTGAGAGACAGAGGGAGGCGCTGAAAGGTTGCTCCAATGGAGAAAAACACAAACACAGTTTACAGTTAATAGCTTACTTACAACTGGGCTACACTGCCCATGAGGCTACATTCTTTAGGGCTATGCCTGTAACACTCTGCCTATTGCCTTCACATTATATAACTTTTTAAAATATTTTGCCGCATCATTATACGGGCTGCAAGTAGAGGTGACATGGGCTGCGAGATTGAGACAGAGGAATTAGAGCCTCTTAATACGTGTTTCGTTTGGGTTTCCACCAGGGTGGAATTACCACAAATAGCGAGGGGACAACATAACGTATGAAACAGGAAAAGATCGCCGTGTAATCCCTTTAATTCAACAAAGTAACTGTATTCTGAATACCACCTTTTTAAACGGTAACTGTAACGGAATACAGTTACTCATATTTTGTATTTTAAATACGTAACGCCGGTACATGTATTCCGTTACTCACCAGCACTGCATATATGCCAATTTTAAATTTAATGCCAGCAACATGCTTTATAAAAGCTGGAAGGACATAGTTTGAGGAATATCTCATAACAAATTAGGAAAATTATTATTCGATCAGGGTAAAAAAGATAACTCTACCAACTGTGGTATATAATATCATTAGAAGATTCTGATAATTTGAGAAAAATTGACAATAAATGCCCTTTATCTTTAAGACAGAAATAGACAAAGAACATACAAAGATGTGTTCTGTAATTTCACAAATTAAAAAAATATTTTGATTCATAGATTCAGTTCCATTTTATTATACTTATATAGCGCCAAATCACAATAGTTACCTCCAAGTGCTTTATATTGTAAGGTAAAGACAATAATACAGAGAAAACAGAGAAAACCCTAACAATTATATGAATATCTATAAGCAAGCGCGTCAGTGGGAAGGAAAAACTGTCTTTTAACAGGAAGAAATCTGCAGCAGAACCAGGTTGAGGGAGAGGCAGCCATCTGTCCTGATCACTGGGGGGTCAAGCGAGAAAGAGATTAATATTAACTAATGTGTATAGACACATGGTGAGTAAAAAGATGAGTAAAGAAAGACACTCAATGCATCATGGGAAGCCCCTAGCAGCCTAGACATTGCACCGTAACTAAGGGAAGATTCAGCCCTAACTATATGCTTTATCAAAAAGAAAAGTAAGCCTAATCTTAAAAGTAGAGAGCGTTTCTGTCTCCTGAAGATGTTCTGTACTCTAGGCTAAAGCAGCCATTGACCACCTGGCTTGTTTTCAGCAGACACATGACAATCTGAATAGCTATAGGTTCCACTGATGCACATAGCATGGAAAACTTAATTTCTTCGAGGCACCATTAATGCTGAACAATGATTCTGTCAGTGAGAAGCTTGGTTATATCAGGAAGATAATGGAAAATTCTGTACATATTACAAAGAGTCCAAGCCTGCTGCCTGAAGGCAAGACCCGTCACCCTTTAGCACATAATAAAATTAACATAAAATTCCCTGAAGTGATTACCAACTAAAATTCGATTTCAAGCAAAGAAGCATTTTGGAAACATTTTGTTTGAAAAAAAAATCACCAGTATTTTATACATTTTCTACACTTCTCTAATAAAATCTTTTATATGATTATATCTTCTGTTTTTTATTTATAGGTTGCATGATCTCCTTAACTTTTTTGGAAACTATTTAATTTGCTTTGCTGTTTAATATGCATGATTTCCTTAAATATTAACCTGTTTTTCTTTTCTTTTCCGTTTTTTCATACAGATGCATGTGTTTGCCTACGTGTGCTCCCTCAGTATTTTGGTTTTGCATCTTGCTAGCCAAAATGACTTCAGATATGCATGTGCAGTTTTTTTTTAATCCAAATTGCATGACTCATTTGGGGTTTTTTTTTAATAAAAGTTTTTTAGAAGAATAAAATATATATTTTATTACAACAGGTAAAGCACTAGACTACACTAGCAAAACGACTGGAGTCTACCCTTTGATGACTACTGCTCAATACTCCCAGATCCCTGCAGCTGGGTTTGGTGTAAATAGTGCTCTAAGGACATCAGATGGAATAGTTTACTCCTCTGTTGCTGCCCCAGTTCCATCCACATATGCAATTACGACTCAGCCAGGTTCTGTCTTTAGCACAACCTTAACACCCACATCAATAGTCCACAGCCAGCCATTACCACACCCATATGGCTTTATCCCCACTACAGACCCTGGACAGATAATTCCTTTTGACTCTGGGCTATCTAAAGATTTTCTACCTACAGCTTTGGCTGACATCATAACTGGCTATCCAGAGATGTACTCTGATGCCACCCTGGAAGCTATTGCTGCTTCTCTGGATGCCCTAGCTTCTTCTCCAATATTCCCTGGCTTAGATAACACCAAAATGGCCCAGTATCAGATGGAGAGGGAATTTCTAGAGCTAGAGAAGCTTAAGCAACTATGTCTTGCAGAAGAGCTGGAATGGGAAAGGCAAGAAATCCAGCGATATCGAGAACAGGAACAGCTTATGGTCCAAAGGGAGCTTGAGGAACTTCAGGCTCTGAAACAGCAGCTTCTCCTTCAGCAAGAAGAGGAGCATCATGCCCACATGGTGGCTCAACAGGAGACCTATGCACAGCAGAAAGAGCAGTTGCAGCAAATTCAGCAGCTCCAACTGCAACTCCAGCGGCAGCTAGACGAGCACTATGGTAGTACTGGTCCCACTGGAAATCTTCTAGATGCTAAATATGCAGGTGTAGGAGACAGTGGCCAGTACTGGCCAGTCAGAGATGAGTCTACGACTCCATCTGCTGGGACACACATAGAGGAAAGTCAAGATTTAGTAAAGCTTCAAGCTGATCAGGACATAGGGAAAAAAATAATTGATAGTGGGGTGCAGACAGATGATGAAGACTCAGCAGAGAAACAACACGTTGGAAGGAGAAAGAAAAATAAAAGAAACATTGATAGCTCAGCTCAGACTGACGATGAAGACCAAGATGAATGGGATGCTCCAACAAAAGCTCGGCGACGCTCTCGAAAGCATAGCAGTGATGGAAAACATGGCTCCAAGGTCTCTAGCATTGCTATCCAGACAGTGGCAGAGATATCTGTCCAGACTGATCACTCTGGAACTATCAAGCGACCTAATGTCCAGATGGACACAAAAGTAGAAATCATTAAACATATATCAGCTCCAGAGAACTCTCAGAGAGGTGGAAGTCTGAGCTGTCAGACAGACTCAGATAGAAGACATGCATCCACTGAGGTGGGCTACAGCACACACCTCTCAGCAGACATCCCCGCTAAGTCCAAAACCTTCTATACTACAGTTTCCCCACTGTCCCCAGAAAAGTCACTTGGAGGACAGAGAATGTTGACTGCAGACCCAACCAGATTTTCTTCTGGTCCTCGGATATTGAAGGCTGGTCAAAAATCTCTATCTGACCCTAAGTCCCTTAGTCCTTCCACAGAAGACAGGATGGGTGGATACTATGCAGACAGCTATTCTGTAAGTCATATCACATATGAATGGAAAAATATGAGCCGTCATATAGTAGTCTGAATTGACAAACTGATTGTTTGTTTGTTTTTATTCTAGAGCCGAGGCTCTCCCTCTAGTACAGGTAAGAAGGTAAAGAGAACACTGCCAGATCCCCCTCCTGAAGATGACTCCCTCTCAGGACGGTCAGGCTACAGCACCAACTCTGCTCGACGCCGTCTAGCTCGTAGTACAACTATGGCCCGGGCAAAGATCCTGCAGGACATTGACAAGGAGCTTGATCTAGTGGAGAGAGAATCTTCTAAACTTCGAAAGAAACAGGCTGAGTTAGATGAAGAAGAAAAAGAGATTGATGCCAAGCTACGGTGAGACACATTTAATTTATTTAAAATCATCGCAGTTTAGGATATAAAGTTACCTATACTTGTATTACTGTATTAAATTAATAAATAACTAATACCTCAGAAAATGATTCAAGCTAACTCCACTGCATCAGTCATTGCATCTCATGCCATCAATCTTCCTAATTCGTCTGCATGATTCCCTTCTTACCTTGATAGCTTATGGGCAAAAAGGCTGCCTTGACATCTCTCAATGAGACTTCTCAACACTCACACATAGTAACAGGTATTAATGTGTGAGAAAACAGAATATTGTTTGCCACCTCCCCTGGTTTTTATTAGAACTTTTGAGTACTAAAATTGTAAAAAAAATAATATATATATATATATATATTTATTTCATTTATTTATTCAAGGTACTTGGAGATGGGTATCAACCGTCGTAAGGAGGCCTTGCTGAAAGAAAGAGAGAAGAGAGAAAGAGCCTATCTTCAGGGTGTGGCAGAGGAGCGAGACTACATGTCTGACAGTGAGGTCAGCAACATCAGAGAGACCAGAGGTGATGGTCTTGAGAGACCACGGACAGCTCCCCAGTCGGAATTTGAGCAATTCATCCCCCCACAGACAGAAGCTGATTCCCAGTACAACACACTGACTAGTCCCTATTCTCACTATGGCCAGTATGTTCCCCAGACCCAAACCACTAGCCACTACACCCAACAGAACCTGTATCAGCAACAATCACTTTACCACCAACAGGTGTCTCCTTACCCAACCATGTCCCTCTCCCATGCCCAGACTCAGCCAGGCAGCTACCAACATGCTCTGCTCTTGCAGCAGGGGAAGCAGCGACAAACAAACCTGTCCGATTTAGAGCCCAAAATCACCACTAACTATGAGGTGATACGCAACCAGCCACTGCTCATTGTGCCAACTTCCACAGAAAGTGGATATGGAGTGGCTCACCTAGGGGGCAAGTATGGAAGCTTGGACTTGAGGTTAGGACTTGAGGAGAGGAGCATGGCCTCTAGTCCCATGTCTAGCATTTCTGCTGATTCTTTCTATGCTGATATTGACCACCATAATGCCAGGAATTATGTGCTGATAGAAGACATAGGGGAGCTCACCAAGGCGTCAACAGGACTGAGCAATACTGGCTTGGGTTCTGGATTCAACTTGCCTGATAAGGAGATGTCCAAGGCAGACAGACTCAGGCGCACAGCAGAGGTAAATCCCATACTGTTAACTTAGTTTCTAGTTTTTGCTACCTTTTTCTCCTCAGACAAATGCTAATAGCTCAGAATGTTAGTGTTTCTTGGTGTTGGCTCTTTCATTTAAAAAAGCGATTCTACAATTTGAAGTGCTGATTCTCCAGTTTTATTTTATTAGGCTTACATGAATGTAGAAAGCAGTGTGACTGATATAGCCCTTTTAATTGTTCAAAACACTGAAGTGTTTTGAACAATTACACAATATCACTTAACATGTGGCGTATAATTTTATTTATTTTTTCCGTTTAGGTGGCAGAATTTTTAGGCTCATCTCGGCTTCAGAGTTATGGCAAAGGAGAAGATGATACTATGGAAGAACCTTATGAGCTGAAGCTACTGAAGCAGCAGATCAAGCAAGAATTCCGACGAGGAACTGAGGGACTCGAACACTTGACTGGTCTGGGCTTACCACAATATCTCCCCAGTGACAGCAATTTTCGCCATTTCCCTAAAGGAGAGAAATATAGCATTGGCAGGCTCACCCTTGAAAAACAGGCTGCAAAACAACTCCCAGCGGCTATGCTTTACCAGAAACAGATGAAGAACAAAAAGGCCCTTATAGACCCTAAGGCCATCACAAAATTTTCCCCAATTCAGGAGAGTAGGGACCTTGAGCCTGAATATGGTAGCTACATGGGATCTGGAGCGTCCTCTGTGTCCAGTCTGGCTGCTAGAGCTAGGCTACTTCAGGATGAGATTACATTTGGGCTAAGAAAAAACTTGTCTGAGCAACAAAAATATTTAGGCTCCTCCTTAGGGGCCAATCTGTCTGGTTCTCTTAATCTTGGTCAGTCTCTTGGACTTGGCTCTACTATCAGGGCAACTGCCCATGATGATGGCACCTACCCAAGTGGTACCCGTTCTCGCCCGTCCTCCCGACCCTCTTCAGTCTATGGTTTGGATCTATCTATTAAACGGGATCTGTCCAGTTCTTCATTAAGACTTAAATCAGAGGGAGAGGTTCTAGATGCAGCATTTGCCCCTGGGGTGGCCAGAGCAAAACCCACTAGTTTACCTATAAGCCAAAGCCGTGGACGCATCCCCATTGTTGCTCAGAACTCAGAGGAGGAAAGTCCTCTGAGTCCAGTGGGGCAACCAATGGGTATGGCTAGAGCTTCAGCTGGTCCTCTCCCTCCCATTTCTGCTGACTCCAGGGACCAATTTGGGTCAAGCCATTCCCTCCCAGAGGTACAGCAACATATGAGAGAGGAATCTCGGACTCGTGGCTATGATCGAGACATCGCATTCATCATGGATGACTTGCAAGGTGCCATGTCTGACAGTGAAGGTAAATGGAGCCTAAGACTGCTTCAACAATTTGACCATATCGACGTGCTTATCATGCATGCTAATACTGAGTGGTCATATTGACTTTCTGGATTAACTGTTTCTTTCTCAGTTATCAGTGCTCCAGATAATTATTGTTGTCTGTTACAATATTTCCCTCTGTCACGATAAATGTAAAGTCACAATTTTGCATGATTTTTCCTTTCTTTTAATTATCGTGGTCAGTGATACATAACACTCTTTGTTTATGTATGCCACGTCTATCCATGCTTTTCTGTGTCATTTCATCAGCTTGATGTTTGTTTGTTTTTTTCAGTTTAATTTATTCAATGTCCTTCCTTATTCTTAGACCCCAACAGTTCTAAAAATGTTAGATTAGATCCTCTCTAGAATCTATGTTATCTGTTTATGAACTACAAAGAGATATGCTAAGCAAACATACTGCTCACAATGCAGCTGCCTTATTTTTTGTATAAATTTCATTAAAAATCTGAGCAATATTGAACAGCCTACACTGGAGCCCTTTTTCAGTGGCACAGGAAACTTATAGAAAAAGAAATACATACATTTTTAAGGTTCTTCCTTTAGTTTTGCTCGAAAACAACAGCAGTAAGTTTAAAAGAGTACTGCTGAATCATGGTGATATACATGTTCTGCAGATTCTACAGGTATTTTTGTTTCATTCTAACTAAATTGCTAAGCCAGTGCCAGGCCAATTTAGACATTTCCAAATTTGCTGGATGGTTTATATAGATCAAAAAAGATGTAATGCAGTAGCTTTCTATAAAGCCGATGTTGTTGTGTATACTTAAAGAAAATTGTGTCAACTGTGTTAATCGTTGATTCTGTAATCTTTCAGTTTCTAATTTGGTCTTATTTTCATCCTTGCATGTACATCTGTTTTCCATTTTCATCTTAATAAAATTAATGTTTTCTGCTTGTTGGTTGTTGCTGTGGATGTCTCCTTGTGGTGTGAGATGTCTGTGTTCCCCGGTGATTCACAGCAGATATTGACATGCACTGTTTCCATTTCCATAAGAATGGGACTGGTAGTGTTCCATTAGTTTAGGTAAATCCAGTGCCTTTATAATTATTTATCTTTTATTTGGTAAGTATGTTGTATATGAAGTAGCATTAAAAAGCACAGGGTCTGATGTAATTGTCAGATAGTGCCAACGAACAAGAATATCTTCCGCAACTTTAGCTTTGTTTCAAGGCCAATTTTGAGGAATCAATGTAAATACATTCTTGTTGAGACAGAAGCATTTGTCTTGACCTTACATAAAAGTGTTCATCTGCCTCAATTGCAGCACAAAGTGAGTCCATGTTGGCTTTGAACAGAGATGATGCCAGAATCTTTCATGAAAGTATCAGACACGGTAGAGTATCTTACAGCATAGTTAAAGTTACTGCCTCTCATGATAATGTGGCTCAATCTTGATATGGCTTTCCCTCCTAAAGAAACATCTTATATGTTTTGTTTGGGGGTTTTTTTCATAGTGCTTCTGCTTAAATTTGTGATCTGTCTGTCAGGCTAGTAAATGCAGTAAAGCATGCATCTCTTACTATTGCTTTTAGTGCATGTGCTGAATTTTAGCCTACTTGCAGTACAAATCTTAGTCTTAGCACTCTACTTCCTGTAGCTTGATAGAAGAATGAACATATGTTGAACAAATTTCTTAAAAACATATATAACTTTGTACCACAGCTGGAGGCCCAAACTGGAATATAGAAGGTGAGACGGCATCGCAATTCTCATGTAGTTACTTAGAGACTGTATGCCTCCATGCCGCATATCATGAATGGTTCACTTCTCTGGCTGAGTTTGTAAACATACCAGATTCATTCTGGAATGACCCACCTCACAATCGTATACAATACATATCATTTAGTGACTCTTGTAGTTGACATGTCAGTTCCATGCTGGTATGAACCCCATCTTAATGACACTCGATATCTTTTATGTGTCATACACTGCAGAGACTTAATTTATGTGTCATTCAGGAATGTTTGCACTGTGGTTTTGTAAACATATCAGACCCATTTCCAGTATTCATGTCCATGCACTAAAATAAATGTGTGTTGTGCATAAGTGTTACCAAAAACATGCAGATTCACAGCACAAAGTATTTTAAGATCTTTTATAGAATTCTGAAAACCAATGCTGCCATCATATACCGATTTGTTCAAGATCTAATGCTTTCAAGATATTTACAAGATATGTAGCAGTCTATTTTCTGTTTGTGGGCTTGGCTCGCCAATACATAGAAAATTCTATCCTTGTTTGGATTCTTTTACATTTAACACCAAAACAGTATTTCAAAGTTGAGATATTACTATAGCTTTCACTATTTTGATTATTTTTGCTCTTAAAGGTATGATTTGGAATTGTGATGGTAAAATAGAGCACGAGACTGTCAGTATCTTCCAGTCGTTACTTATAAATGAAGATGGTTTGGGGGAGATTTCCAGTACACAGTGCTGTAAAATAATACATAGAAAATAAAACGTTCCAAACATTTAAAGCATATCAATTTTTATCAAACTTGAAATTATTCATACACCATTTAGTATTTTTAGTAGCCATCTGATCTCACACTTGTGGATAGGATGGAGCAGAGTTTCTGTTTCTTTGCTTTCACCTATCCAGTCAGGACAGATCAGAGATCTTCCTGCCTTTTAGAAAATCTGGGTGGATGTGTGACAATTATTCTTAAATACAAAAAAAGAGATTGCTTGATTCTATGCTTAAAGCTTCTAGTCCCTATTTTCATGCATAGATTTTAATGCGATCCTTTCCTTGTCTAGCCTACCACCTGAGAAGAGAGGACACAGATTGGTTTGATAAGCCAAGAGAAGGGCATCCTCAGAGCGGGAGTGTTTCAGACAGGAGACAGGTGCGATTCAAGCTAATAATATTCAGCTTGGTCCTTTTTTTTCCACTCCATGTTTATTTTTGGTTTTAATATGTAAACCCGGAATGTTTTCTGCTTACAAACATGCTTCTTTTAATGCTGTGAATTTTCAGATGAAACTCGTGCCTTATGCCTTCCCTCACACTCGCATCAAGCTTAAGAGAGACATGAAGGACTCCAGTGTGTCAGGTATAAAACTATTACAAAATGCAGACATACAGTTATCGTACAACCATAAAAGAAAAATCACAAAGATTGTCTATTTCTGTTTTTGTAATTAGGATTTGTATCCCTATTTTTACCGTTTAGGTAATGGACTTGGCATCCGTGTGGTAGGTGGTAAGGAGATTCCAGGGAGTCGTGGAGAGATCGGAGCGTACATTGCCAAGGTCATCCCTGGTGGGGTGGCAGAACAAACGGGGAAAGTTGTGGAGGGTAAGAGCAGAATGAAAAAGATTCTCAAGGCTCAGGAGAGTCATGATCACAGTGCTTTTTAAGTGTTGATGCTTTTAGGGCCGTTTACGCCTTCAGTAAAAATTCATGCCTAAATCACTCCAGATGGAGTTGTGACAGGCGGCTGTAGCCTACTGTGTGTTGGTTTGTCATGTGTCTTTCCTCAACACATCACGCGCAAACACACCCTCCACATCAGTGGGCTGTGTTAGTCATTAGACTATATTTAGCGTCCCTGTAAACATACAGATACAGATAGACAGGCAAGCACAGATAAACACACGCACACAGTGAATTACCATGCAACAATCCCTGCTCAATTTGTTCTTGTAGTTTCTGGAATTTCAAATAATTGATGCTCTAATCTTTGTTTAGAAAGAGAAGCGCCTGAGTACTGATTGCAGTTCCACCAGTAGTTTTAATGAGATAATTGGTTCTAGCTTCTTATTCCATTTAATTCTGATATAGCTTACTCCCTTTTTGTCTTGCTGAACAAGAAAATATATTTTTTTTAAAAAGGCAAGACAGTAGGTTGGCTGGTTTACTTTCAAGCGTGTGCTGTATGCTATGCATATGTTTATGTTCTGTTGAAAGAAACTGGCAGCAGAACATGCCTTTAGGTGCAGTGTGAAATAAAGTGGGGGAGGTTACAGATTATACACAGAGAACAGAGGGAATAATCTAAGAAGAAATACTGGCTCATGCATGAGGATACGCACTTATTAATGTGAGCCTTTATTGTCACAGCAGCTGGTGAGTTGCTTCGTAAGCAGAAGTCTAATCTGAAGACCAGGTTTCAGTTGTGTAAGTGAGGCCTCATATTTCTTTGGCCCTGGGTGGAAAAATTGAGTTTGCTGTGATTTGTTTTGTGTATTACATCATAAATATGCAAATATTAGTGGTTGTTTCTTGTGCTGTTGCTGTGTTTTTACTTCTAATATGCTATTTTTTCTACATTATTCTTTGTGAGAAACAAAACATCTAATATAATCATCGGCAAAACTTTTCTTTCTTGCTTTTGTGCTGGGTGTTGTTCCAACAATGGAACAAGGCCAATGCATAAACCCAACTGAGAATAAAGAAGAATGAAGACAGAGTTAATTCAGTTGAAGAGCTGGTTGCTATTACTATTGTTCTGTGAGCATGAAAACTGCACTCTCTGTTCTAACACGTTTCATGTATAGAGATGAGGGGTAGTCACTCATTTTGCATGCTGGCCTTCATCGTATTACAGGAATGCAGGTGTTGGAGTGGAATGGAGTCCCTCTAACGGGAAAGACTTATGAGGAAGTGCAGTCTATTATGGGCCAGACATGTGCAGAGGCGGAGCTTTGTGTGAGACTGTGAGTAACATCTGTCACCATTTATCCCTCTATCCCACTGAAACTCCTACATGTTTAGTCACAAAATGGTGACTCTGCAGCCATGAACACCTTCTCTCGTCTTTCCTTCCCCTTCTGTTCGTCCCACACCCCTTCATCTGCCAAATATCCACTCTGTGACTGATTACTCCTACAACGCACTGGTTGTTATTCCATTATAAATTTCCTGTATGGATCCAAACAGCGACCTAAACATGCTGTCTGACCCTGAGCACCCACAAGCCCTGGAGCACCATGTCCAGCTTAAGGCTGGTATGTACGAGAATTTGTTGCTACGTCTGCATGCGTGCATGCGCCTGCGTACATGTTTGACATAAATAAAATGTGAGTCACTATATACACTTGTCTCTGTAGGTGGACAGCGTTCCCCCGGTGTGGATCCTAAGCAGTTAGCTGCAGAATTGCAGAAGGTGTCCCAGCAGCAGGCACCTGGTATGGTTGGAGTAGGAGCTGGGGGATTGGGGGTCCTGTCTGCACTAGAGCGCTCTGCCCTCCTCCACTCTGGTACTGGATCGGCTGCCTCCAGTGGGGTGCCAAGCCCTGGCCAGCCTGCATCCCCTGCAATAAGCAAGAAGCAGCGACACAAGGTAATGGATTTGATCCATTAAAATTCTTTTTAGTGGCTTACCTCACACACATTCTTATTCAAATTAGTCTTTTGTTGACATTTCTGTGAAATGTGTTTGCTTTAAATAAATGAAGTGAAGACCGCAGGCAAGTTCAGCCAGGCAACTCGAGCTGCACTGCATCAGACAAATGAAACATTCTCCTTAAATCATATACCAAACACAACCTCTCATCTGGGCATTCTATTTAAGAGTCTGGGTTTCTCGTCTCTCCCTCTGCACAGAGCAGCTGGCTGCTTCGACCATCCTAGCATCCGCATGTAGGGTCAAGGGGGATAATTACCTATCAAACCCCAAATTCGCAGTCTGATGCTGCAATAAAGAACTCATTTTGAACACGAGATGTCTGACTAAACTAACTAATGGTGTCACACTACACCGACAGACTTTCCTTTCTAACACACCGATCAGATAGTCAGTGTCCCCCACAACGTGCATACGTTCAATGAAAAATGTTAATATCTATTCTACAAGGGCACCTCTTTCACCAGTACTCTATTAATATATACTTCAACTTAATCCCAGGTTAATGGCTAAAGTCTGTTATTGTGGGCCAGACAAATTTGTTTGCCAAATCATTAAACTATCAATCTAGAACCACTCCACCTCCTGACCTCTCTGTTTTTGTTCTATTTTTTTTTTAGCAAACAGAGATGATGAAGATGCCTCATCCCATCACAGGAGAAATTCAGGTTAAAACACACACACATGCAAACAAACATTAAGAAAATATCACTATTTACCCCCAACAACATAAAGATGGACCCCTGTAGTTTCTCTCATAGAGCCTCCTCTACACTCTGTTTCAAACAGCTCCAGATCAACTATGACAGAAATCTAGGAAATCTTATTGTCCACGTCCTGCAAGCTAGAAACCTGGCCCCAAGGGATAATGATGGCTACTCTGACCCTTTTGTGAAGGTCTACCTTTTACCTGGGAGAGGGTGAGCTTTTAGCATTTTAGTGCTAACTAATATGTGTTCTGTGTCTGCTTTTCTGCCTTTGTGTCTGTTTTGTTTTCTCTCTCCCTGATTTTTTTTCCCTGACTTTGTACTGACTTTGCTGTATCCCACTGACTAACGTCTTAAGTTTGTGTGAGAGAATGGTACAGGACATGATGATATGAGGCAGTCATTTCTGCAGTAATTTGATTCGATTTGCTTTAGTCTATAAATAAATAAAGTGAGTTGTGTTAGACTTTACATAAAGCTGTAAGAGGCGGCCTTTTTCCAAATTGCTGCATTATAATGTATCAAATTAGCTGGCAACAGAGAGTCCACATGGTCAACCTCATGTTCTTACTCTTTCTACTTTTGGCTAAAGTGAGTGCTTTGGTTTTGTCCCTAGGTGAGACTCCTTCTTATCGGTGTCGACTCCACTGTCTTCCTAAGAGCTTGTGAATAGCAAGAGAGAGGATCGATGCAGCCATTATCTCCCTTGTAACAATATCTGCTCTTAGATAATGCCTCCATCAGGCCTGTTTATTAGATTATGCGCTCTCTCCCTCAACCTACACGCTGTATAGGTTAAAAATGTAAGCTCGTTGAGAGCACCTTTGTACTGCTGCTTTATTGCAAGAATATATTTGAAATGCATCTGTCTGACATTAGCAAAAGAGTTCACAGCCGCAGTGTCTCAACAAAAGGTCAGAGTAGTGAATTTCTCATTCACCTGTGAGCCAGTAATCACTGTGAGGCTTTTTGGTCTTGAGTCATATCTACTGTGTAGGCACAAAAACAGTGATTTACCCTCAAGAGAATATTGATTGCCTCAGCTCTCTATCCTTTACTGCCTTTTCTTTGAGCTCTTTGAGCTTCTCTGACTGTTATTTTGTATTTTTGCTTTTCTTGTTTGTGATATATGCCCTCCTCTTCCTCTTCTGGACTCCCTCAGCCAAGTCATGGTTGTCCAGAATGCAAGGTAGTGTGGTGCTGATCTTTGTTTTTTAGTTGGTGTTATGTTTTTATTTGTGTAATTTACCCATCCAAAGTGGTTTTCCATCCTTTTATTGTGGCCTTTGTTGTTCGTCCAATTATCTGCTCTATTTCACAGTGTTTAAGAGCACTTCTGCCATTACATTTTCTCTCCATGCCTCTGACTTTGAACTCTCCTCAGCTTCTATCTCTGTACTCATTTGAAAAAAAATTTTTTTAAAGCATCTTACTCAGAGCAGACAATTAACAAAAATATTTCAGTTTGTTTGCAATCTTTCTGGTGCCTCCAAATAAGGATATTGACCATTTTCCAAGCAGCATCTATTCAGCCCATTTACTGAGCATTGCAGTTTTGTGAATGTTGCCATGGGATCAAGCAGTGGAGAGATTTTTAATAATGTATTATTAACAACCAATCATTCTGAATGTCATGAATTATCAGTGCTGATAACAAGAGAAGGACCAAGTATGCCCAGAAGACCATGAACCCAGAATGGAATCAGACTGTCATCTACAAGAACATTCATCTAGAGCAGGTACTGTGCAGACCCTCTCTTCCTGTCCCACACTAAAACGCACATGCACACAAACATCTTCCCACAGTCACTCTTGTGTAGTTACTGTATTTGTTGTGATCCACTTTGGGCAATGTGGAAGCCTCAGCGTCTTATACGACACTTAGAATTCCGTCCTCATGCTCTCTCCCTCGGGCTGTTTTCAGTATCCTCTATGCAGCCTCTTATCAGCACTAGCAAACCTCAAGTTAACAACCGACATTCTTGCTCTTACAGTGTCAATACAGACACTTTAACTGCATGTCTTTTTAGCAAAAAGAGTAATAGAAGAGTGTTAGGTAATCATGCCCATGTGTGCTCATCTGTGACTGCTAGAGGTATATATGGTTGCTTGTGTTTATTCTTAGCCATCTGTGTTTGCTTGTGTTGTTTGTGACAGACACCACCATCGTCTTACCGCAGCCTTAAAAAAAAATCTGCAGTGCATACTTATATAAGTATATCTGTATATGTTATGTCCTCCAACATGCTTCCGAGTGTTTCTATACACGTCCACGTATTTGCACACATGCATTTAACAACTCGTGATTTCCTTGCTGATTAAATTACCCCCCTCATTAGCATTCATGGCTGCACTCATTTAGGCACGACTCATTCAGTGTACACGAGCTCGTTTCTTTTGTCCTTCATCCACCCACATTCGCACAGACAAACAAGCTCACACCTCACACATTTTGTTCCCTCGCACGATCGCCTCAACGCCTCAACGCCTCACCATAATCTGTGACCCTCTCTTTACTTATTTTTTCTTTCTTTGAAGCTGAAGAAAAAAACGCTGGAGGTGACAGTGTGGGACTATGACAGGTCCTCCTCCAATGACTTCCTTGGAGAAGTAAGTGACTTGTGAAGCCGAGTCTGCCATCTGACAATGTGAAATTTAGCTCACTTTTTCTTTTTCTTTTTTACCAATTTACCTCATTAAAGTGGTTTTTGCTATTTTATTTTATTTTATGTTGGTTTATTTGTATTGTTTTATTGGTGGACCTGCGTTTCTTAACTTAACTCTCTGGTCAGACAAACACCAAATTTAAACTTGGCTTCTATAACTATATATATTAAATTCCTATTTATTTTGTACTGTCTCACTCTTTCTCTCTTTTATTTTCTCTTATTGTCACTCAGGTACTGATTGACTTGTCAAATACCACCCAGCTGGACAACACTCCTCGCTGGCTGCCTTTGAAAGAGCAGAGTGAAAGCATTGAACACAGCAGAGCCCACCATGCTGCCCAAGGTCCGTCAGGGTCTGGGTCAAGTCAGGGACATGGCCAGGGCCACATTTCAGGTTCTGGACAGGGGTATGGAATGGGTCAGAGTCTAGCACCAGGGCAGGGAGATGGGAGTCATGATTCACCTAAAAACTCTGTAATCAAGAGCAGAAGCCATGGAATCTTTCCCGATCCAGCTAAAGGTAAAGAATCACCTCATTCTTACAGTTAATGATTGCTAAATATCAATTAATTCCATATAAGTAGTTTTAAGCAATAAATAATATTAATATTCTTGGCAGGTATTCATAACCATACCTTGAACACTGTAAATACATACATATCAGTACTGCATGGAACAATCAGATGACTGTGAAATATTATTTGCACCTGAGAGGGGTTGGTTTATTTACAGTGTCTTGCAAAAGTATCCGGCCCCCTTGAACCGAATACTTTTGCAAGCCACTGTATTTTGCAGTTTTCTCTTTGGCACTTGTAACCATTCATTTAATATTCCTTTAGACATGCAAATGATGCCTTTGGAAAAGTCACACAGTAGCCCAGGCAGTTCCAAGTCTTCCTCCGACGGCCAACTACGTTCCCATGGCCCTTCCCGAAGCCAAAGCAAGAGCAGTGTCACTCAGGCCCACCTTGAGGATGCTGGAATAGCAATTGCTGCTGCTGAAGCTGCCGTGCAACAATCCTGCCTGCAACCAAGTAAATCCTTCCCCTACCCCTGATAAACCACCTTCGAAATGCACCTTTTCCCCTTGCATGCAAGCTTTGTAGAGATTGTTTGATAAAGCCTTGAATTGCTCTGCATTCATCTCCTTAACAGTTTACCTTGCCTTCTGCTCATCTCATCTTGCTTTTCTGCCAGCACAAAGTCACAGTGATCTAGCTCATTAATATAACTGTTAAGCAAAAAGCAAGGCAGATAAAGGATTTTAAAAAGATAAAAAGATCAAATAAGTACACAAATAAAAATAAACTTGCTGTGAAATCCTATTTAATACACTATGTAATTCTAAAATCTTATTTTTAGAGATGGGGCTCATTCAGTTTACTAAATTGTTATGTGTTGTTTCTGATATTTTTCACCAGTTTAATATTTTGGTTTTCTCTTTGGGCATCTTAAATAGTTAATTAAATGGGATAATAGTTTAAGAAACTACAAACATAATTAATGGATTATTTTAACTTGTAGTATTAGTATTATTAGCTAAATTAGAAATCCAGACCCCTCTGTTTCTACATGGAGTGTGCATGTGCCAATCCCAAGCATATGGTTTCTACAGAACCCCGGTGTGGAGATCTCCAACCCCAGTACAGAAACCAAGCTAGGATGGCAATCCCTTACATGTTGTATGTTCTACTGTGTTAACATGACTTAAACAACATCCATTACCTGTGTATAATCCTCAATGTGATATCCTCAAAATGAACTCTAATGGTCTACTTCTTTACAAAGGAAAGTAAACTCATTGTTGGAGGTTTTTATACGCATGCAACTGTAGATTCCCTAGCTATTATTTCCTGGCCACAGAATATTTTGTGGAGCTGCAATATTGCTGTGTATGTGCATGTGTGTGTCACAAGAATTAACCCCTAGAAAAGCACACACAGAGGCAGACACAGGTATGGCACACAGTCTTCTCGCCCTGCACAGTCCTTCCCTATTCCTCCCACCTAAAACAAAGGGGGCACAAATGACCCAGTCAAACCTGGAAACACAGAAACACCACGAGGTTTCAAAAGTCAACAGGAGGTTCACGCTGCACTCACCAGCCAGTGAGTGTAAAGCGGTCAGCTAACCATGAGGGAAGCAGAAATGTCAAGGGAAGGTGAGGCAACATAGGAAAAATGTACTCTATAAATATATAAATAAATCATATTAATCAACAACTAAAAAAACTACTACTAATAATAATTATTATAATTAAATAATTAAAACTAAGCCTTCCAAATAAATGAATGTGTAAATATTGATATTTCTGTTGTAATTATTTTCTGTATGTAGCACTATGAATGTCTGGAAATGCACATATTCATTTTATATATTATTTCATTATTTATATATTTATTTTGTGTCGCTTTTATTACCGAATGATTTTGTTTTCATTAGGAACAGAATGAGTAATTATTGCATTTCAGTAACAGACTGTGCTTCAAACACATTGTGGTCACACATCATCTTTCAAAAATACACCGAAAGTCGCCGAATGTGTTTCAACAGTAATCTTCACATATTTTCCCAAGTTCTTTCTTACTGCAAAAGCATAACAGAAACCAGCCAGAGCCAAGAAAGAATATTTAATTGTATGAACAAACTGCCATGCCATGTCCTACAGTGAATTAATCTTATTTTTTTTTCATTAAATTTAGTGACCTTCATTTAGTTCTAATGTAGGGATTTGCTTCGTATTACAGAGATTTTACACAGCACTGTTACGTAAATGCAAGGAGATGCTGACATTTACAGTGATGCCCTGTTATGTGATGCTTAGTCAAAGTTGTCAAAGTTATGTGTGATGGAGAGTGCCTCTGTCAATGAGTGATAGCTGGGTGTGTGTTTTGTTACATACAGCACATGTCTTGGGCACCCATGCATGTGTGGTAAAAGCTGGGTCGTTTAACATTCTCTGTTTGTTTGTTTTTATGCAAGTAATTTATTTTGAAGAAAAAAACTGAGTGATTGATTTCCTCAGTATCACACTCAGTATTGCCACCCACAGGACCAGGACACCGGCTGAGTGATGTTTCAGGGTCAGTGGTACTATCTGCCCCGAGCCTGGTTGGAGACGCTTATGGAGGTCTGGATAGTGAAGATGGAGCAGGCATAGGAGTGGACAGTGCCATTTTTCAAGTGCCACGGATGTAAGACTGTTTGTAGCTCCATGCAAGCATATTATGCATTAACGGTTGTTAATGTATATGTCATGTTATACTCTTTTAAATGTATAAAACAGTGTTCATAAATTCATTTGTTTTGTTTTTTTTGTTTTTTCTCACAGCGGTAAGACTATTCCTAATGGCACAGACAAAAACCAACTTGAGACTGCAGAAAATGAAGGCAAGCTCTAGAAATGTCACGTTTTCAAATGTTTGCTTTCTTGGTCAGAGGGCTCCCCCTGTTGAGTGTTTTGTGCAATGACGGTTTTGTTGTATTTTTTTTTTCAATTTCTTTGTAACCAAGCCACCTAATTAACTGCCTCTAAATGGTGTTGCTAATGTCATTATTAAGTTGCGAGGTCAAATTGTCAGCTAAGTGCTTATTGTCAATGAACAATATTAACCCGAATTATAACTTACTGCACGGCTTGAGAGAAGTGGTTGCCATGCTGTCCCACAACTGCTGTTATATCTACATTTCATGTAGCTCGGGTGTCACGATGCCTCCCTTCCCTCTCTAGTTTCAATTTGTTACAAAGAGCAGATGGTCATTTTAGGGTATAGCCTGGCAGCTGTTACAATGATGAAGGTCGGGAGGTCATTTCCATGGTGCCTGACAACTAATTTACCAAATTTAAATCAGCTTGTCTTGTAAAATTCTTAATTATTTCAGGACATGTAGAACTGGTGAGATACACGTGAAACTTTGGATATATATTTCCTGATGTGATTTTGATTTTGCTCTTTCTGTTTCGTGTTAGCTGGTAAAACACAAGTAATGGGGGAGATCAAGGTTGCTCTCAAGAAGGAGGTGAAAACAGAAGGGGACCAACTGGTCTTGGAGATCCTTCAGTGCAGAAACATCACTTACAAGTTCAAAAGCCCAGACCACCTGCCAGGTGTGGAACCAATCAGTACTGATGTACATGCATTTTGATTTTTTAATCTCAATAGTCCTCTTTTTATGAATTCATATTATTATTTATCCAACTTGCATCCAGATCTGTATGTGAAGTTGTATGTGGTGAATGTGGCCACCCAGAAGAGGATCATTAAGAAGAAGACGAGAATTTGTCGACATGATAGAGAGCCTTCTTTCAATGAGACCTTCAGATTCCCCCTAAACCCAACTGGACACTCCATACAGGTAGTGTACAACAGGCACCTAAATAACTTTCAGACCCCTGCTAATTGTCAAATACGATGAGTGAATAAAACGTAATAAATCATGATTGTGTTAGAGTCTGGACAATAAAGGCTATTTATGACTGATACCAATATTTGGTGATTTAAAAATCCAATATACTTAGCAATATTCTGTTGGGTTTTTTTTCTTTCAGACACACAAAACATAAATAGATTTCCCTAATATTTGTTATGCGTGTTGACAAGGAGTCACAAATATCCCATAATATGAGAGTGTTGTTTAAAAATAATCTAGTTTACACTCTTCCCAACTTTTTTTGTTGCGATGTGTGAGAGACTAGGCTGGTTAAGACCAAGGACACAGTGAGTATTTAGAAAAAAGTGGGTGTATTTACCCCCCCAAATTGTAAAAAAAACCAAAAAACAAAATACAAAATGAACTAATAATACAGGGCCCTTAAAAGAAGTCAAATGAATAGAACAAAACTCAATCCAAAAACAGCAACTTGACATATCTCCAGATTAACTACTCAGCAAACAAAACTGAGCTAACAGCAAGAACCAAAGGGGACTTAAATACTGGCTGATCAGGCCAAGTTGATACATAAGGGGAACACAAATCCTAACAAATTATCTAACACCAAACAAACAAAGCAACACTTAGTTTAATAATTACTTCAAATCAAAAATACCCAGCAGAAGGCTAAACAAGTCACTTATGCACACCTATGGGTGGCAAGAGCTGCACTTGGTATGGCCCAATCAGCACTTCAATATATAACTGCAGAGGTGTGTGGCTGCAGGTGCGGCCATCAGGCCGTGTTTGTAGTGTTCCAAACATAGGGAAGTTGCAGAGTTTCCTCTGGTACTCACAACGTGGTTAAAAGCTGTTTCTTCTGCTGTAAATAGCTCATATGGGCTCTAAAATTTCTAGGTCTATAAAATGCATTAATTTTTAGACTTATAGATATACTTGTAACAATCTGCTTGCAACTATTAATAATCATACTGAATAACATGCACTTTTTGAGCTGGCAAAGCACATACAGATAACTAACTGACAAATTCTTTTTGTCTTTCTCATGCATTCCCAGCTTTTCTTGGTGTCTAATGGAGGGAAGTTCATGAAGAAAACCTTGATAGGTGAAGCCTACATCTGGCTTGACAAGGTGGACATGAGGAAGAGAGTGGTCAGCTGGCACAAGCTGTTCGTCAGTTCCACTCAGACCAACCCCTGAACACCACACCAAAAAGATCCAGATGCAGCAGATCAGCCAACACTAAATGCAAAGTGCATAGTTCAGAGATGTGACAAAAAAAATGAATAAGAGAATGAGAATAAGAGCAAAGAAAAAAGATTCCTTTAATTCGTTGCTTCGGTTTATAAATCATAAAATAAAGGTTTATTATGTGCTACTAACATTGCAATTATATCAGTCCAACACTGCCAGCACATTTCCACCTCTTCCCATTTCAAGTCTCTGCTGGTTTTGGATTTAACATGCAAACATAAAAAGCTGGCACTGATAGACACTCAGCAGCAATATGGCTTTGAGGGCAGTGACGTCTTTCTTACCACAGTTCTATTTCCATAATCCACATGAGACGCCGAGATGTGATTCTGCACTACTGAACAAACATATCTAACAAAGGGAAAGATGAAAAACAGAATCATGGAATTCATTTTATTTCCTTCATATGAGAGACGTGGTTGTGCTACGATCGTGATTTGTGTGGATTTAAGTGGTCTTGGAATATTAACTGATGAAGAAATGCATACATTTTTTGTACAATATTCTTTCAGTTTCATTGAAAAAGGAAAAAAAAAAACACAATAAAGAGCTTATGTAGGCCTGAGTCAGACAGTTGACCTTTGCTGTGGGATGAGGATTAAATGTACAGCACTTCTGATTGTAGATATCCCACATGCAAATATAAGAGCATATCAGAGAATCACATTGTACAGTGTGACGTTTATATAGTATACACAGATATCAGATGCAGAATATATCTAAATATAATATACAGTATAAGAGTTGTTCTCTTGTCACTAGATTATATATACAAATATATATAATATGGGACAGATACACAGACTTGTTAGATTGAGGCTGTGAGTGGCGCACTGACAATCCAGTAATCTATGGTGTAGGCAGTCACAATAACTATTATGTGAATGTGGACCTATGTGAGCTCAAGGATGTTAATAATCATGTTCAGTAGCTCCCTTGGTTCTCTGGTCACACTAATGCACCGCTATATCGAACAGGGCTGTGACAATACAAATAAAATCCAAGGTCAATGACAACCTCTAGTGGCTGATTACTATTTTACTAGCATGATATTGTTAGGAAAGATTAGAATTAAAATTTAAATTAACAATGAACAGCATCTGCTGTGTTGAATGTTACAACTGTGGAAGGTGAGTTTCACACATCCGTCTCAAGTGTACAACATTTTGCTTTAAGATTGTTATAGTGGCTCAGATTTTGCTAATATTTCCTTCTGTGTAGTCCATCGTCAGACATGTAATTCATACAATATGTGTCAAAATCCTCTGTAGATCTGCAACTGTCATTACTTCAGTATGACAGCCCTGCTGTCTCTGTGTTAGTAAGTCCCTCTGGTCTGAGTTTTCCCTGAAAATTATTTCAAAAGGAAGAAAAAAAAATGCTTTACCATTCAAACGTCAAGGTTCTTTTGTGTGTCTGGCTGTACTGTAAAACACTTAACTATTTTGTGTCAGTGACTCCCATTACAACACATTGAACCAGCCTCTTTCACTGCCTGCAACCAAAACACTCAGGCCCACTGGCGTACAGTGATGTATAGGATCAAATGAAAGCATGGGGCCTAGTCTCAGTACTAAGGTGTGAGTAGGTGACCCATGTATTTATCTGTATTCGTCTTACAATGTTTTGTCACCTTTACCTGTACAGAATGAAAAATTGACCCTCAGAACTACTGTTAGTGTGTTTAGGCACATCACAAAGCCAATGCAACTATTTATAATATATCACTGGAGACTACAAACATAGAGCAAGATGTCACTTATCGCCTATAATAATTACAAAGTAAAACAAACAAGCAAACATAAAAGAGGGTATAGTGAGGAAGAAAACAAGGTTAATTTTTCAATGCTGACAATTATTTTGTTGTGCCAACCGTGATTTATGTTTAAATTCTCAACAGTTATATTTCTTTTTTACATTCCAGATCCATTGTTTCATTTGAAGTAATTCTATGCAACATATACGTTTGAATGCATTTGTGTTTTTGGAATTAAAATGTTTTAACTGTGAACATATGTTCTCAAAATAACTGTAAGAAAATAACTTTAATTTGTACATCGATGAAAGAAAATATGAAATACTCTGATTTTTTTACTGATTTTAATATATATTGACGTTAACGGCTGTTAACATCTACATGGATCTTGTGCACTTTATTATTGCGTTGTCTCATTTGTTCCATCATGACATGTGGGATTACGTGTTTTGTGTTTATGCACTGAAATGAACTGAGTCATGGTGTATGTGATGGCAGGAAATATTGTGGTGTGCATTTTGTATCTATGTGGAAAAAGAAAAAACATGCAGACACACTGGGGTTCCTAAACGTAATGCACAATGTGGGGGGGGGATAAATATCACTCTAAACTGCATCATGCTCTCAGTGTACTTAAAAAAGTTTGTGTACACAGTACAGTAAATTAGACATATTATCTCAATGCTCAGCCTTGACTGTTCAACCCCTGTGTTTCATTAGACTTCACCCAAGCTAAATACTGTTTGTTTAGATCAGCTGTTGCCTGTAATCGTGAATCCATTCATTTGTTGTTGTTCTGAGGGGTGTGAATGTGACTCAAGTTGTTTGACATGTGTACATAAAGTGTTTATTTTCTACAAAGATTGAATGTTTATATTGTCCAAAGTCTGAGCATGTGAGTGTTGAAAAAAAAAATCACAAAAGACATATAATTGTACAGCAGTTCATGTCTATAGCTGTAAAAGGGGAGTTGACTGTGTAATCAAAACCTGTGCTGTCAACCAATGACTATGTGTGCAACTACGTCCCGTAAACTGCTGAAACAACACAAAGGGGGGAAAAAAAATCTACTCAACTTCAATAGTTGTCTAAAACTTTATGTTTTGGATGTTGCATGTTTTGTTGATGGTTTGTCGGTATATTTTGCCTAAAGATTACGTTTAAAAAGAGAGAGAATATGTATAGATTTATCTGTATGCTGAGTGTAAAGAAATATGCTTGTAAAATTGTCTTGTTTTTCACTCAGTGTAAAAACAAAACATATACTGTTATGGTTTTGTGGTTGTACACAGGATGTGTTGAGATATGCAAATCGTGCTGTAAAAAAAATCAGCGTTTCCCCTGAGTCTAAAAGAATAAATATTAAGAAGAGTTATATTGCACATTTGGAGTTGAGCTTTGTTTTGTTAACAGCTTTCTTTATTATTACTTAAAAAATAACTTTTTAAAGTGATAATAGACCTTGCTCTGTTAATTATTTTAAGGAACAAACTCGTTTTCTGTGTTTGGAGCAGCTTAATCATTATTTGTTAATTAGACGTGCCTACGGACACGTGAATTCAACTTCTGACCGTCTGCTCCATGTGGACACTGCAAACTTGGTCTTGAAAGAAAAACCTACATTAAGTATGCACAAGCTGACATCCTAGTGCCAAAAACAATTTAAAAAAGGCACCGTGATTCTTTAAAAATTGTTTAGTAGAAGTGAGTTTGGAGTGGAACACATAATCGCTGTACCAATTTGCCGTGCTTGTGATTATGATGTAGACCTATTTTCAACATCCCATTGTGGTTTATTCTCATCAAACAGATACGAGTTTTGTGTCTATTTTTTCGTTTGTTAAATTTCATTTATTTAAATTCTCTCTTTTCTTAGGAGTTGAAAATATTATCACCATCTACACAGCTTTAACATTAGCTAAATATTTGGTGATTGCATATTTTACATAACTTTTTACTATGACAGCAGAAGCTGGAACTGGGATGATGAATGGCTTTGGTAGAGCCTCCTATCCTTTATTTGGCTGTAATTTCAAGGCATGGTCACTGTGAGGCAGAATTGACTCACGTTAACATCTGGGGATGAGCCACTTGGTATCATAGACTGCAGCTCTAAAATTGGAATACTTTATGAATCCCTTAGGAAATGATGTGGTTGCAGCTGCTCCAAGACAGTACAGTAACTGATTAAATTAAATAAAACAGTATAATAAAGTTACAAAAAAAGATAAATATATGATGGACATTTTACTCTAAACTGTATACTGTAAAACTTTATCATTTGTTATTTCTCATTTTCACTCTACATGTGCAAAAGGGTGTGACTATTGCACTGTGTATTATGCATTAGACGGAGGAGTTGTAGCCACATCAGGCAGCACTGATTTCCTGTGTGGTTCAGTTATGGATTTGGGTATTCTCCATCTCTCACTGAACGTGCTTCTGTGATTGGCCAGCACGTCATGGAGTGGGTGGGAGGTACTGTCCAGCATTGACCTTATGACCTTATGACTCATTGAGAGATGCTACTGACCAGCCAATCGGTGGCACGCAGTCTGACGATGTCACATTTTAGTACCTGCTCGGATTGCTTTGAAACTCAGGCAAGCAGGTACTAAAAAAGTACCTGGTACCAGGTACTATGACCTAATGGAAAACCCTGAAAACCATGCTGAGTCAATTGAGTAGGTACTAATGGAAAAGGGGCTATAGTGCTTGCCGGCTGGTCCAGATGTGCATAGACAGAACTGAGCTGGTAGATGATGGCATCCTCAGCTCTGAGGCGAGGCTGGTATGAGACCTGAAAGGTATCCTGACGTGGCCTGACAATAGGTTGGGGACGGGAAAGGATGAGTCTTTCCAGGGTTTTCATGACATGGAAGGTCAGTGCCACAGGCCTGTAACTTTGGGGGCCATTGGGACATGGTGTCTTTGGTACAGGAATGAGACGTGACATCGTCCACACCACTGGGACCCTCCAAAGACTTAGATTTATCCTGAACAGTTTATGAAAGACTCCACAAACCTGGGGGCACAGGCCATGAGGACATAGGGCCACACCCTGTCTGGACCAGCAAACTTGCCTGAGCGGAGTCTTCTCATTTGTCTCTGAACCTGGTCATGAGTGAAAGTGACAAAGGGGGGAAGGGGTGTCAGGACTTCCACAGGATTTTGAAGAGAGTGACGTGAATGTGGATTGCAGGCTGACTACAGGTAACTCACTAGGGGGGAGAGCATTCACTGCAGTGTCAAATCTGCTGAAAAACACATTCAACTCATTGACTCTGTCCTCACTGCTCCCAGCTCCTCTGCTGTTGAATGGACTGAATCCAGTGATTGTCTTCATGCCACTCCACACCTCTCTCATGCTGTTCTGCTGGAGTTTCCACTCCAGCTTTCCACTGTAATTGTTCTTAGCCTCTCTGATCTTGCCCTTCAATAACACCTGAACCATTCTAAGAATGAGTCTCAGTCATGGTACAAGAGAAATAGGTTCTTATTTCTCACTAAATTACATTACATACGTAAATATTTCCATTTTGAATAGTTCATTTATCAAGATCAAGTGTATCATTTAGCTGTTCACTTAATTAAATGACGGAATGTAATTGATGAAATGCATCATAATGTTCTCCCAGGTGGTCAGATACTACATCTATGTTCAAATTTAAATGTGCATGGGTATGAACACATATATTAAACACAGCCGTTATGATATCTGCACGCTACTGCATAGATGCAGAAAAAACAAAAAGAAAGACAGGAGAGAAAAAAACAAAGACTGTATTGAAGCTGGTTTGTTCTTTAATGTTTCCAGTAATTTTTGTAGATTACCTATAGGTGGCAGTATCCTCTGTCAAATAAACCCAATACAGCTGCTCTTTAACCAATTATGGTTCAACACATTATTCACTTATACTCATTATATAAATCTCCAGGTTGCTCTTGGATGTCAGTATTAACTTTGAGGTTAATATTCAAAATAAATATTCTGTACTCTGTGCAGATATTTTCAGTAAATTCCTCATATGGAGTAAGAAAAAGCCCATA